AAATGCCCGGATTATAGTGTTCGAGAAAGACAGCAGCAGGCAACGAATTCCAGCTCTATAACATACCTAGGTTTTTCTTCCTTCTAAACTCTAAAGCATCGTGTAGTCACTCCAGAGTTTTGTTTCATTTGATAAGTAACAATTTTCCGCTCGTTCCAATTTCATAAGCAACCTATAAAACTTCACACAATGCGTTCCGATCAAGATAACCGTTGTAATTGTTCAAAAATTAGTTTAAGCGCATGCGCGAGCCGTCAAAAACAAGATGGCCGCCACAATGATGTGATTAATTCGCGTTATCACGCGTGGGAGTGTCTGGCTGAGGTTTTCCGAAGAAAAGTTTTTGCTATAGCTAATTTAGAACTTGCAGTTTTATTAGTTCTTTTGTTTTGTGAGATTTGCATATTGAAATGACATATTACGTGCAGGTGTTGGAAATATTCAGGTCACAATATTGTTAAAAAATAAAATGTAATCAAGTAGGTAAAACTTTCGCGATGGGAAAAAAAATAAAGACAGAAAAACTATTAATTGTTTGACACACACAATTAGTACAGTTGGAGGCGATGCAGCATAAAAATAAAGAGAAAACAGCAGGAGACGAAGACTTGAAACAAAATTAGTAGGTACGGCTCTTTATTCTGATAGCCGATAGAATTTGTTTGAGAGAGCTTAGCTATGGAGCTATTCTTTTTATTTAAGACTATTTAAATACTAAAACATCTCCTCCTCAAATGTGCAATCACTCGACCCATCCAATAACAAAAAAAGTCAATGATGATTCCATAATAACTAAAATGGTTTTGTCTTATGTCAAACAAACCGTTACAATAATAATCCCATTTTTCCAAACGCCAGGAAGTAAACACTAAAACATACACGATCCCGAAATCGTGTCGTCGTACACTCGTCATATCTCGATATTATTGTAATTGAGATGGCGCATCGTGCGCACGATCAGGAAGCGACTGAGTTCAAATGTGTTTATTTGAGAGAAAGATGGTGCATTGACTTCTACTTTTCATGACTTAATATGAAATTGTATTTGTTAGAACTTTCAGATTCCACCTTGTTTAGCTGTGAAATAAAAATCAAGTCATATCTTTGCCCATAGAGAACTTTAATTTATTTTTATTTATTATTGTCAACCTTTTTTCCCGTGCACAAACTAAAGATTTTGGAGTTGGATTTTTATTTATTATTTTTTATTTAAAACTTATATGCACATAGAACGGTGTACATAAGGCGGACTTAATGCCTTTCGGCATTTTCCTCCAGTCAACCTTAGGGCCAAACTGAGAGTAAAGTAGGCGGTATAAAATTACTATGAATATAGACAAAAAAATACATAAATAACATATGAATACATACATAGATACATACATATACAGGGTGTTAGGTAAATGGGCACATGATTATGTCAAATCGAAACGAAATTTTTTATTTCCTCTACAAAGTCATCTTTACATAAACATGGAGTAAATTACCCCTGTAATACTATAGCAATTTTTGTACATCGAAAGCTCAAAAAAAGCTCTATGCCAATTTTAACAACTAATTGGTCAATTTTAATTGGGACGTTTTTTTCCATGTTTGTTGGGACCAATCGATTATTTCAAACCGAGTTCCCTTTTGGATAAGGTACCTAGGGTTTTGTTTACTACTTACAGTAAAAAATAAACCCACGTTATCCAAACAACAAGCCATCTTCGCCATAACCCTACATAACTGCACTCCATAACCTTTACTTTACCCGTAACCTGCTAAACAGGCAGTGAAACCGAAAGCTGTCAGGGCCAGGGGAAAGTCTAGGTCCTGACCCTAGGGTCAGGCCCGATGCGCCTGGAATTGATTATGCTAAGGTACAGTCGAGTTTGTAGTGATTAGGCGGTATTATACAAGGCGATTTTGTTATCAGTATCCAAATTTTTTAATAAGCTCTATAGAACAATTTAACAATAGGTACAACTTCATCTTAATTATTTTTAATCGCGGTTTTTTCGCAAAAAAAAATATTAAAAATCTAATTCGCGGGTGCTCATATCTTAATTTTTAAATCTAAGGCTTATTTTCGCGTATCATGTCTATTAAGCTTTGTAGTTAACTGTGTGTATGTATTTTTCAATGAACGGAGCATTATCTATGTGAGCCAATTTTGGAACCGCGCGCAGCGGATAAAAATAAGTAAATATGGAAAAAAAATGTTTTTTACGTAAATCGATTAAATTACTGATTCTGAGTCGCTCCTAAAAATTTGGATACTGATAACAAAATCACCCTGTATACTAAGGTTGGGTTGCACCATCTTACTTATATTTGACAAACGTCCAAAATCTGTGAAACTCCATACAAAAAACACCGGTTAGCTAGATGGTGCAACTCAGTCTAAGTGTAGAGCATATTTTGTTTAAAAAGTTTAGGTTAATACTTTTGCTGTTCTACATAATAATGAGAATTCCAATAAATCATTATTTTAGCAATTACGTTGGAATAAGTTATTTTGTTTTTTTGAAAAGATTTCGCCGCGCGCGCCGTATCAACTGAGTAAAATTTATTAAGTTACAGCAATATTCAAACCTGATTGGTAAAACTCTACAGATTTTTTTTCCAGTTTTATTTTTACTGGAAAAATACAGTAGAAAGAAAATTTACTGTCATTGAATGAAACAAACTATTCTAAGTACCTACCAATTAATTTAATTGTTTTATTAAGTTTGTTCTAAAGCAGTCGAAAATTACGAATAAAATAATAGCTTAGTAATCTTTCAAGATCAATCTCGGTAGGTGGTATATACGGTATATACACAGTGGTATATAATATACCACATGTGTAGACACAATAAAGGGTTGCAACTACTTTTTATTGACATGATTGGATCTCCAAGAGTTTTATATTCTGTTATCATGTCATTAATCTCTATATTGCACAATTATGAGTTAACGACTCATGAATGGAGGTTTGAAATGCTATTATAGGCCATTGAATGTATCTAGATTTTAATAAATAAGACATGAGTGAATCCGACAACATCGTAAATGTAGCAGGGAAGCGCTGGACGCAGGCCGCTACCAATCGATCAACGTGGAAAGCATAAGGAGAGGCCTATTTTCAGCAGTGGACGTCCTATGGCTGAAATGATGATGATGATGATTGAAGATCTTAGATAGTTAAGATGGGGCTAGGACAAATTTATAGGACAAACTTCTTCATCGTCGTTCAAATATAAAGCGGTCCACTTCAGAAGTTAAATAAGAAAAACACAATCTCCCGTCTTTTTCGTCCAGTCTCTGTTGAATTTTTTTTTGTTGAACAACAAAAAATTTGTAACTATACAGGGTGTTAAGTATGGTTAATTCTAGATAGTTCGATTCAAGTTAGGAACCCGAAGATTCTTAAAAAAGTATGTAAATTATGTAAATGTGTTAAGATTTTATGGCTTTTTAATTGATTGCAAAAGCTCTACATATAAAGACTTTCTGTATAGACTTACCTCCACGCATAAACCAATTAACCAACTAAAGAACGTCCTTTTAAATAATAAATAACTTCAAATTTAAATTCAAATAGTTTATTCAGTACATAGGCCCTTACTAGGGCACTTATATAAAAAATCGAATTGCCTAAGCTAGGAATCGAACCCACAACCTTTCGTTTGCGACTGCTCTTCCATCTGAGCTACTTAGACACTGGACGACGTCCTTTTGTCTTTAAATTGGTTTCGCAATACCCTACAAGTAGAGGTCATCAATTTTAGCACATTTGTCATTTTCTAAGGCTTATGAAACTTCGGCCTAAGGACATCTTACCTGCTTTTTTGCTACACAAATACAGCCTTTAAGACCTACCAATAAGATGCTTTTTATATTAGATTTACAGAATAATTGTGATGATTCGAATGATGATCATAAGTATGTAGCATTATCTTGATTGAAATAATCAGTGTCATTTTGGTTGACATAATAAAATTGTGATTGAATTGTCCCTTATTATTTACAGCATAGGTACACACTAACACAGTTTTTAGGTTGGTCGATTGAGGTAATCGGCCATACTATTATTTTAATAAATTAAGGAGCGATAACAATCGTCTTTAAAGTTGTAGAAAATTAGAAATTATAGAACTTGCTCTACATTTATTAAAATAGATTTTTTTTCGCACCAATTGAAATACAGGATTAATGTTAAAGTTTTGATAGAGTTAAGTAGGGTATACGCAATATTTATTTAATTAACGAAATTATTAAGGCAAAAAATATACCTCTAGTAAACTTTTTAATTAACCAGCAATTTGCTCTACATTACTTATCTGTCTTCAATTTCAGTTCAATTGAACTTATCAAGTAGGTTAAATAAAAAGTAGGCCATTTCAAAAGTTTTCAGCAAATTGAATAGCAAAATTGCTATCGACTGTAATTAATTCTATATTTTGTAGGATGTATTAGTTTTATGCCTTTGCCTTCAAAAACTTAATTAAAAAGTTACGCTGTTCGGGTATGTTTGAATTAGTGTTGTACGCATGCATTGTAGGCGGTTGATAAAATCGGTTCATTAAAATTTTCAATAGGCTGACTTATCGCGATTTCCCACGTCACTGTCAGATTGAATTGTCAACATTGTGCTTTTTATTAAGTTGTCATTCACCCAATCTATGTAATGATTATTTTTTATGGAGAGTATTTCCTCATCGCTCGAAAAGGAAGTTATGATTAAATCTTTTTTGCAATGAGTAGTTGATATATGCATAATGTGCATGCAATAGGTATATTATGATTGTCATGAAATGCGATGACTTTTACCGATTAAAATCAATCACTTTTAGTAGCCTAATAAATACTTTTTAATTCATCATCATCAATTGTTTCTGTTTGTACTTTTTGGAATTTATGCATTAACTTGTAAAAACACAATTTGTACATTAATTTAAATTCCATTACGATTTATTATTTACCTATTTAAAATACAATTTAAGATACTGAAATAAAATTCATAAGTCACTGACCTTGTTCAAAATAAATGCCGGTATTGTATTTAAAAACCGCAAACCAACTGCAAACCACAACACTGGTCACTGCGAAAATCCGAATAAAGAACACTATTCGAAAAAAAGATGTCACTTTTTTTTAAACACTGACTTTATAAGCGGCCAGCACCAAACGCGAAAGGAGAATGCACGCGCGCAAACAATATACCACGCTTATAACCCATGCCAAAGGTTCACCCTCCACTACACTTTGACCTTTCGTTTCTAAACGCTGTTCCTATAACAGAGGTCACGTTACGCTGGCCGTACATCGGGGGGGTACAAATTAATGAAGTTTTGGTAATTAGCAAGAATAAAATACTCTTACTAGAGTTGCGTAAAATCACAATACGACCGAAGGTTGCCTATTGAGACGTCTCTAAAACAGATTTCACAGTACATAATTGATAGTTTGATACATCGAAGGTTTACGCGAACGTTACATTGTGAAGAATGTTACATTGGTGTAGCAATTTATGTTTATTTGCTCCTTAATTATCAATTAAGAGATGGTTAATGACGATTTGGCCATTTATTGGGGTTTTACAGCCAATAAAAGATAAAAGTTGCAAAATGCTTTGAGGTTTTATCTGAAAAAATAATAATTTATGATTGATCAGATTTTTGGATTCGCATTAAAAATATTTTACTTATAAAGTTTTGCCCATATTTTTATTATAATGATATTAGTCTTACTAGGTTTTTTCGCGTCATTTTTCCTCAAAATAGAGTTGTAATTTTAATTTACTTACTACATTTAAGACCTATTGGATTTAGGACTACCATGTTGATTTAACAAAACCAATTATAATAATTTAATCGACCCCAGAACCAATTCAGTTGTCTCGACTCAATCATTCAACAACTTATAGAGCCATTATTTAAGAAAAGAATATGTTTTATTAATTGACCCGACCAGGAATTTAACCTGGGACTTCGTAAATGCTCACTAACTCACGCCACTACGCCATCGCGCCCAAACCATACGTGTTCTGTACAGTCAGCGTCAAATAATTCGTGACACCCAAAGTAGCCAGTAAGTTCGCAACACGTCTATGTTACTACAACTAGCGGCCGCCCGCGACTTCGTACGCATGGATTCCGTTTTACCCCCTTAGGGGTAGAGTTTCGTAAAATCCTTCCTTAACGGATGCCTATGTCATAACATCTACCTGCTTGCCAAATTTCAGCCCGATCCGTCCAGTGGTTTGGGCTGTGGGTTGATAGATCACTATGTCAGTCAGTCAGTCACCTTTGAGTTATTTTATACTAGCGGCCGCCCGCGACTTCGTACGCGTGGATTCCGTTTTACCCCCTTAGGGGTGGAGTTTAGTAAAAACCTTTCTTAGCGGATGCCTACGTCATAACATCTACCTGCTTGCCTTTCAGCCCGATCCGTCCAGTGGTTTGGGCTGTGCGTTGATAGATCACTATGTCAGTCAGTCAGTCACCTTTGAGTTATTGTATTATAGATTGGAATAAGGTTGTTTTGTCAAATTTTTTTGTCACTTTGGATATCACGAACTATTTGAGGCTGACTGTACATAATGACGTGACAAAGCAGCAATAGGCTGTACATTTTACGGTTTATTCTAGTAGTGACTTGTCATCTTCTTACATAATATTACCGAGCTTCGTAGGCAGTTTGAAAGCTACAGTAAAAGCTTTATATGATGTTTAAGTACTTATTATGTTTCTTACCATATGACCTTTATTGTAAGCTTTGGCATAGTTTACAGCCAATTTCAGAATAGAACTGCTAATTCTAGAGCTTCTGTTTCATTCATACTTTAATTTAATTTTCTGTAAATACTTATAGTAACAGAATTCATACAATTTAGTTTATCAACCAATAAGTCTCTTACCAGTAGAAAGCACATGAAAATAAAACCTATAAATACATAAGGACTACGTGTCTATGGGCGACGGTATCACTTACCATCAGGTGATCCATCTGGTCGTTTTCCTCCTGTCCTATTAAAAAAATATTGAAAAAGTATTAATTATCTAAGTATGTACCTACATTTTAAGAAAGCCTCACAGGCGTATCTATACGCAAGCAAGCAAGCAAGCAAGCAAGCAAGCAGGCAAACAAGCAATCAAGCAAGCAAGCAGGCATGCAGCATGCAAATTTGACTAAAAACTTGAGACTTCTGTCACGGCTCCGGCACTGCGGGGCTCTGGCGGTCCCTCGCGTGCTAATCGTCGCAGATGGCTTTCGCTCGACACCGCGTCTTCGGCTTGCTGGTATCGTATCTATTGCGTTCGTAGGCCGAACTATGTAAGACTTTTTATAAGTAGGTGTCTAATTTTTTGGCTGTTTTTTATAAATAGCTAAAGGACAGAAGCTTCTTAAGAATGGAGGTTGACGGTAAAGGTCACGGATCGTTTAATTGTTATCAATTAAACGTAAAGTTAACTTCACGTTAAACCTATTAAGCAGTTAAATATTTTGTAACAATCACTACTGGTATTGATCATTTTTCCCACCTTTTAATTAAGTAATTGAGTTTGTAGATATTTTAATTTAGGTATTTGTCTCCAGAAGAATCGAACTAAGAAACTAAATTAGTAGAAAACCATGACTTTTTTACATTGTTCTTATTACAAAAACACTGTTTTTTATGCATAACAAGACAGGTATTTGACCGCAATCGCAGTGAGATGCAGTCTAGGAACCATCCTACCATGTATGATATGTACCAACATATCTGCCCTGTAAGTGCTTATTCAATCTTGCCTTGAAAAGGCCCGGATTATAGTGTTCAATAAAGACAGTTGAAGGCAGCGAATTCCAATCCATAGCTGTTCGCATTTTAAAATAATTAGGTAGTCCAGGGGATTAGAACAAGCATTACCTCAGTTCCTCCCACTGGGAAATGAATCCGAGAGTAACACCGGTTATCGTTAAACAGTCAAAGTTAGGTGGTACAACTCAGTCTAAGCGTTTTGATGATAGGACCTTACTAAGAGGAAGAACCGTAGGAGAACCAAAGTGACCGACATAACTCGCAGAATTGCTAAAATCAAGTGGCAGTGGGCGGGGCACATAGCTCGTAGAGACGATGGCCGTTGGGGCAGAAAAGTTCTCTAGTGGCGACCATAGGCCGGAAGACGTAGCGTAGGAAGGCCTACTGCTAGGTGGACCGACGATCTCGTAAAGGTGGCGGGAAGAGTCTGGATGCGGGCAGTGCAAGACCGTTCATTGTAGAAAACCTTGGGGGAGGCCTTTGTCCTGCAGTGGACATCATTTGGCTGAAACGAGACTAGACGACGAAGAGAAAGAAAGAGAGCTTTCAATCCACGTATCGATAATACTCGTAATCGAGTAAATCCATCGCGTGCACAGATACATAATTCGATTACCGATATATCGAGTTTCCAATAAACACCGTGGATAATAAAGCTGTTGGTTTAGAGTTTTGATAAGTGAAAGTGAATCGTTAGTTTTGCGAATAATTTTTGAATAATTTTAAGATGTGATGTCATTTCTATTGAATACACAGCAACATTATAGTTAGCCTAGGCGCAGACCATCGACTTTTATTAGTTGACCGATAGCTGGGCCATGGACGCTTTGCAATTGAGGGAAGTTGAACCTTAATTTCGAACTCCTCCTATGTTCTTCTGATTTATTTCGTTGCGGGTCCAATGACAGTTTAACTTTCCCCCGGGACAAACTTGACCTTCACTGGTTGGGTTTTTGTGGCGGTCAAGCTGCAGATCCTGGCTACACAGGAGTTGCAGTGGTGGGGACGAGAGGTGGGAATAGTCCCGTAAAAGTCAGTGGTCTGCGCCTAGGCTAAACACCCAGTGGATTAGTGGTTAAGAGTTGGACTCTCTCTATCCAAAGATGCTAGGTTCTATTCCCAGGTCAGTACTTCACATAAACATTTTTTTACCCACAGGGAAGCTCTTGGCCTGCATCTTACCTGTTGGAAAGTGATGATCATGCCAAATATGGAAGCGAGCTTCATCCTGAATCCTCAACCAGTACTTACTTAAGCGAGATCAAGGTATGATTTATAAATACTATCTTTTCAATCGTGTGAATGGGAAAAGAAATATAATTTAGATCACGGGGTTTGTCTAGATCAGTGTTCCGCAAAGGGTGTAGTTACCGTGGCACACTGGTGTACCGTGGTTATTGGTGGTGTGCCTCGGAAAAATAGGTTTATCATATAAACTTATTTTTAGTAAGGGAGTAGGGGTAATGTTAAGACTAATAAGGTAATTACTTAACAATTGATTTTTCATGTGTGGTGTACCATCAAAAAATTTCGAATTCCTAGAGGTACCTTAAACACAAAAAGTTTTCGGAACACTGGTCTAGATGTGTCCTTCCTAGGAGCTCTACTCCATCGGAGCTAGAATGCTAGAAAATCGACGATTTTAGACGACAAATGTTTGTGCTAATCGTGCAAAATCGATAAAATTCTTATCGTGGCGCGCATCCTAAGCCTACATGACGATTTTCAGCTTTAATTTATTTTTTACGTACACTTTTACTATTTAATTAGCATTGTGCGGTAATCTAACGTTAGTTTAGTTACATCTTCAGTTAATTATTATACAAATATTCAAATAAGTCTAGTATCCGGTTCATAATACCCGTGGTTAATACCTAGATACTAATCTAAACTTTACGCAATTTCACTTGAACCAGTGATCAATTCAGAACGTCCGTGGAAGTAAAAGAAATCATTTGCATATTTTTAGTAAATGTAATTTAATTATTTTCCTGAGACATAGTTATACGGTGACAAGAATTGAGTATTGAAAAAAAATACTGAAACAGATGCTTTTCAGTGATCTCTACTTTTTGTGCATTATTGTATTTTTGGTGATTTCCCTTTTTCTCATCGCCATCTAAGTATCCTTCCTTCGTCGGATTTCATCGAATTGAAAAAGTAATTAACTCTAATTAGATAAAAATGTAGTATTTTCACTGAAAACATGAAAGTTCTCGTATCTTAGTTTACAACGCGTAGGAACTACGAGTACCATTGTCTTTAGTTACCGTTTACCCAATACCTTTGCCAATGTCAACTATGGTTCGATACATCAGACAACAATGTTCAAAATTGCATTTATTACAGCTGAGTACGTGAATACGGTGCCATATTGTTAACTTGT